GAGATGTTAAAGATGAAAAAAAAAGTTTTCATATGCTTGTGTAGTCACTTTCGAAATAGAGGATGTCTCGAATATAGTCGTAATGTATTCATAAAAGAGAAGATGACAATGTTTCTCATAACATTCAGTCATAATATACCAAATCGGTTTTGTGAAACGAAAGAATCAATCATTCAAGACAAATAATACATAAATACTTTCACGAAATATTATGTGTTATGCTTCATTTTTTGAAAGAGATGATTGTCCTAACAACTTCCAATTTACCTACAAATTCTACGAATCACATAAGTCATCATTGTTGGTTCAAAAAAATATTTAAGATAATGTTTCATTTTATTTTAACTTCATAGGATATGTAATTGTTTACACCCAAAATAGTAAAATCTAAGGGTGACACGTGAAAATGATATGATGTCATGATAGAGTCTGTGAGAGTCTATGCTTGACCAGTTGGTTAAGGAAGTGAGACTCTAAGAATCCCAAGAAACAAGGAAATGTGATATCATAAGCCTTCAGTTAGAGACGATTCAGTGCAGGTTGGCACATCTCAAAAGAAGTGGCCATGATTACAGTCATGGCCAAAAAAGATTACTTTGACGGTTAAGGTCCATCCCATACCATATAAATAACAAAGGCAAGGCTATAGAAGAAAGATCCTCGATCAATACAACAAATCTACATAGAGCCAACATTTCTCCTACTTAGTTTATTTTTGAGCAATCTTACTTTAACCTGTAATTCATAACTCCGGTGATTTTTACTTACAATAATCTTTTATCTACCAAGTTTAGTTTCTCTTCTACTTTACATTCTAGTTGTTTTTCTGCATTTGAGTCCATTATGTTACAAGTTGAAAAATTGTTTAAGTCTTTGAACCCCAAGGCATAGAAAAGAGCTCAGAGATAACCTTATGTCTCGTTATAATCGTCTGAATAGTCACGATTTAAAAACTTCACACTGGTTCGAGTGAGTAAGATTACATATTTTGATCTTAAGTCCAATCGGATTTTAACATGCCTACAATCCAAAAATACGCCAAACAGTAGTGATCTATAACTTTTTTAAAATTCTCACATTTGAACTAATACATATTTCTTTTTGAAAGGTTGCGGCGGATGCACTTGATGGAACTCTTATTTCTGTTATTATACCACCAGAACAAATTCCATATAAAGGAGGAGGCAAGGGAGCATGTTTTCAAAATGTACTTGCTATATATGATTTTGACCTCGTGTCCACATTTGTGTGGCAAGTTGGGAAATGGTAGCACATGACTAAAGAGTTCTAAAAAAACCTTTGAGTGATCCAACTAATAATTTTTCAATTCTTCCTCTAAGTTATGAAAATATTTAATTAATGTTACAAAATATATATTTGGATAATTTATTTTATATTTGTCATGCAGATAAGTATGTTTTATGTGATGCAGCATATACACATACTTATGGTTTTATGTCACCCTATCGTAATGTGCAATTTTGTTATCTGATTTTCAATTTATTCGTCCAAGAACAAAAGAAGAGTTATTCAACCAAGGATATACTAAGTTAAAAAATGTGATTGAACGCACTTTTGGAGTATTGAAAGCTAATTTTTCATTATGATATCATATTCTTTTATTGTACAAATGAATATAGTAATTGCTTGGGTAAGCATAAACAATTTTATTCAATGATCTTGTATCACATATGCATTTTTGGACCAATTTAGTAATGTGAGTGTTACTTACGACAATTCCCATCAGAATTTGCATACTTCAACTAGCTTTGAAGTTGGAAGAGTAAGAACACAAGCTGATCAATTCTTTATGCTTAATTTATGTGAGGAAATTGCAAGGCAATTAAACTATTGATTTGTATCCTAGTTGTAATTTTTAAAATTTATGACAGTTGTTAAGTGACCAATTTAACTTGAATTAATTTTATTATCATGTTTGTTAATGATTATTAATATATTGAGATTTTTTATTAGATAAATGAATATTTTATTAATATTTTTAAAATAAAAAGTGGAAGGATAAAACTAAAAATTAATTTATTTTCAAGCGTCAGCTTTGTATAGTTATTAAATAGTTTAGTTCAATTCAGTACTTAAATTTCAGTTGGTAGTACCAAACAGTCCACGAATTAAAAATTCAGCATTCTATGGTTTGAACTAGTAATGTTTTACCTCCCTATAACTACATATAATCCCATTGAGTTTGGATAAAAATAATGTAGCTAGCTGAGTGAACAATATAAACAATAAAAATACCTTTCCCTTTTTTTGAAATTTGTTTTTCGGGTTTTTTTTTCAAAAATTTTATTTCAATTGTGAATCCTATGTAATGCATGAAAAAGTAAAATAGAGGAAAGAGATAAACTTGTTTTAGAGTGAGGAAAAATAAGAAATATAATATTTATAAGGGTATAATAGCTGTTTTGATATTTTTATTTTTTAAAAATATTAAAGGGTAAATTATATTTTATATTTCAGGATTTTAAAATTCTCAGTTTATACCTTCAAAGATTAAATTTTTTATATTGTATTATAAATATTTCAAAAGTGTTGCAATGTGATCCTTCTGTTAATTTTTCGTTATTTTTTTCGTCAACGTTGATGAGTTGCTTTTTAATGGAAAAAATAATGAAACCTAACAGAAAGATCATATTGTAACACTTTTAATAAATTAAAGGTATAATGTAAAATTTTAATTTTTAAGGGTTTAAAGTGCAAAAAGACCAATATTAAATTTTGACCTTTATTTCTAATAAAATTTATGACAATTTCACTTTAGTCCAAAACTATGATGGATTATGTGTTAACTTATATAATATACTGGCAATGTACAACGTGCGTGTGGCACATAAATAAATTTAAATAATAATTTTTATAAAAAGGTAAATTATATGTGTAATTAAATTAAATAATAAATTAGATGTCGAATAATTAATCTGTATTTTAATTATTATTAGTTTATTCTATAAGTCTTTGAGTACTTAATCTGTCATTTATTTTAAGCATTTGTACAGCTAATTATACTATAGAATTATTAATTTTTATTTTATTAAATAGACTGATTAGATCATTTATAATATTATTATATTATTGCATACTTAAAAATAAAATATAACATATATTTGACTGTAGAATTCAATCTGATAACTATATGTGTATAGTAATTAAATATGTATATGGCTTTTTTTATTCATATAGATATAAAAGTTTGCATGTACCTTACAACTAATAAATAAGTTCAAAAGAATTTAGAAGTCTTTATAAAAAAGTCGAAAATAAGTTAAAAATCAAATAAGAGTAAAAAATAAAAATTAGATGAAAGTATATAAGTGTGTATAACTGATTTTATATCTATAAATGAATAGTCTTACTTATGTTTATGTAAATAATGAAAAAATAAGTTATCTACTCATACAATACTTTTGATTTAATTCAATCAAAGTCAATTGACTGAGTAATTATTTATCGTCTAATTTTCATAAATTATATTTTTTTCTAAACTTAAATTTGAGACCTTTTTTTTATTCTGGATCCATTTTTTGCTCAATTATTTTTACATATACAGAATGACTTAAAACATAGAGTTTGAGTAGTTTACTATTTAAAAATCTTACTGACATTTGTTTTTTAAAAAATAATTTTGCTATATTAAAAAATTTCAAGTCTCTTTTCTATATTTTCAACTAATATTAGATTTAATCATATTTTGATATCCAAATTCAATTTTTATAACTGAAGTTTGAATACAAAACTAGTAGTTTTACATCTCCAAAAAAAGAAATTTAAAATCAAATGAATATATATTAATATTTTACTATTTATTTTATTGTATCTATATTATTATTATATTACACAACACTCTGGCCTCACCGAATATTTTTGCCTAAGGCCCCCATATTGATTGGGCCGCCTTTGCTAATGGATATATGTTTTTTTTAGAATGTAGGAGAATAGGAATGGCCAACAGGTTAGGGTTGGGTCATTGCATAATTTTGGTGAAATAACTTAACTATAGTTAATCTAGAGTTTTGAAATGTATTCACAAAAATATTGAATTTAATACAAACAGAATATTGAATTTGTAAAACAAAATTCTCCATTAACGCAATAAGTAGACAATCTCTGACAAGGGGGGCTAGTGAGGTTTCAAGTAATACCGGGGTATAATTGAAGATAAGCCTTATTACAAGGGGTGTGGATAAAATTTTTTCTAATATAAACCATCAAATTTAAATGATCTAGGTCATTACTATAAGGAGTGTGAATAAAGGTTTTTCTAATATAAACCATCGGATTTAAATGATCTAGCTCGTTATTGTGTTTTGTGTAAATATGATTCTCTGCTTTATTTTTATCTATTCTATAATAATATAATACATGAAAATTTTTTAATATACTATTTTACCCTTATACAAAATTATAAAAAATAACATGTCCTTTTATATTTAAATATGCGAATTACCATTATATTCCTCTATATTTAAATAATAAATTAACCTCTAACATATCATGTAAATATCTATATTTGCAAACTTTTAGATAGTCATGTTATTTTTAATAAGATATATAAAAATATTATTCTTTTTATCTAAAACTCTAATATTAATACATATCAACAACTTCATTGATACAATATTATCTCCGGTGCCAAAAAATTGATATATGTATCTTTTTCTTTCCATCCACGTACAAATAATTTAAGTATAATAAATATAAGACAATATCTAATTTAACTATATAATTAAATTTTTATCAAATATTTTAACGAAAATTTTCCCGTGTGACACACGTATTGTATTGCTAGTTATATAGATATATACTATTTATAAATGTCAATATTTGTAAAAAAAAATTAATTTTTATTTAATTTTTAATTATCATTAAAAAATCAATTATATTCACATAAGTTTAGTATTAAAATAAAAATTAATTATTCAACATATATTTTATTATTTAATTTAATTATAAATATAATTTATAGTTTTTCTTAAAAAATTAACATGCTTCTAGTAACTTTCAATACCATAGGGTCACGCGGGCACACAAATTCGCATTATTCGGAATCGGAAGAAATTTGCACCAAAACGGTCCAACCCCAAAACCAAACACTCTCCACGCTTCCCACGCTACTCATAAAGAAGAGAAACAGTCTCACAGGTAAGATAAGAACGACTCAAAGTCTTTTTCTTTTCTTTTCTGTTTTTCAACCCCAAACCAAAAGAGCAATTACCAACCCAACCCTTAAATACACCATTAAATATCTAATAATTAAGGTTAATTATTGTATTCCATTTCTTCTCGGATTAATCTTCCTTCTCTATTGGACCACGGACCACCGAGACACTAACCCAAAAAAATAAAACAAAGAAAACTAAAAACTTTTGTGATTTTTTTTTCTTATACATGAAAAGGGTTCTAATTAATAATACCATAACAATTAGGCCCAGGTGTTTGATAAAAACTGGTGGGTGCCCATAGGCTATGTGCTTCTGTTTTCCGGGGCTAGGGGTTTTCTATACTCTTTTGTTTTATAATATTTTTTTTTTCAAAATTCAATTCTTGTTTTATAAATCTATTAATTCTGTCACAGATGTGTCCTCCTCCAAACTTCAGGTGATTTGGGTTATTGATGTCCCAATTTTCATTTCCGATTTTGAGGGTTTTTTTTTAAAAAAAAAAAACTTTGTTGAGGTTCTTGATGTTTATATTTCGTTATATATCGTTCTAGTTGATCTTGGAATTTGGGTCAGAGGATTTTTGGGTGGGTTTGACATAAATTGTTTTATGGGTACCCACAAAGCCAGTTTTGCTGTGACCAAAAACTGAATTGTTGGGTACCATCTTTTTCAGATATCTGAATTAGGGTTAGATCTACTACATCTGATTTTAATTTTACAGTTATTGAATATTCTATTTAGGGTTTTTTTGATTTCGGATTCTGGGTTCATTAAGTTTTGTTATTTTGTTCAACATCTGGGGTGTAGTCAAATAGACTTTGAGCTGGTTTAGGTCAATAGACAATTCAGATTGTTGGATCAAGAATATGTAAGTTCATGAATTAGTATTTGAATTCAAAGATCTTGTTATTGCAATTGTTATTCCCTCCTGTCTGTCATGATCTCAATGGAATTTAGAATTTTGAGGCCCTTTTTTAATTTATAAATATTTTAATATACTGGGTATTATGTAAATCTGGTGATATTTATTTGTTGCTTTATGATGATTAATTTTGATAGATTGGGAATTTATGACAATGAGCGGTAACTGGGAAAATATATTAGCTTGAGGATCAAGATTTTTTATGGCATAACTATCTGATGAATTTTGAATGTAGCTGCATGCATGCAACCATAATTCTGGATATGCATTCAGATCATGAAGTTTTTTGTGATACTTTTGAATGCCCCTCCCTTTTTCTTTTAGGTATTTTTACTATTTTTATCCTTTGAAATATGTAAGGCTTACTGCTTATTACGAAGCCTGAGTAGTCTGCTGCAGGCTTAAAAAGTACTATCAAGCCATTGCTTCTTTGCCCAAGCACAACAGCATGGCAACTAGGTTGCAACCATATTTGATATTACTCTGACGTTTCATTTATTTTGTAATCCTCGAATACAGAAATTGTTGGATGAGATGATATTTCTCTTCTTATTTGATTCAACAGGCGTTATACTTCATTTAAGATACTAGGAGAGTATAGATTTAGTTTTTTCTATGAAATTCAATTTTCGTTCATTTTGATAATGTTTCTTTAAGTTTTAGGTTGCGAGGGATAATAATATGATACTATAAATATAGATGTGAAGGAAGTTTTGGTGGTAGAGGATAATGGTGGCTTTCATGGGGTGTCTTTGGTTTTTATACAAATGACAAGATACATTATTTTCTTAAAAATTTTACTCTAAAAGCTTTCTCTTTTTTTTTTCCATCTTAGGTGTGGAATATAATATCTTTCTTCTTTGTCTAACATTCAATTCGAGGAACTGACCTTAAATACATGCTTAGGAGGGAAGGCTGGTTGCTGTAATGTTTAAGTTCCTGCAGGCTTTCAGCTTGTGATGGTTATAATAATAATACAAGGATCTGTTTAGGAGTCAAAGCATGTGGATCTGCGTATAACTTTCCTAAAAGTTAAACCAGCTCAGTTTTCAGGATAAAGTATACAACTGCAGCAGTATTTATATATATATGCATTAGGTTGATTTTGACATAACAAAGATTTTTTGACTTGGTTTCCGAAGAAGAATTGCTTCATAATCTAATCCTTTTATTTTTTTGTTCTTCCTTTTCTATGTTGTATATCTGTGTGCAGTTGTTCAGCCGTATGGGGTTGTGGACGTTTGATTGGCATGTCCCATACATGTTGCTTCCATAGTTCCATCCAATCTATAGGGAGCCTTGAGGTTGGGCATTTCATACCTAGAGAAAAAAGTTTGTGGACAATTCCATTTCATCAATTTGTGATGTAAATAGATGCTCTCTTTGTTTCACAGTATCTGAATGGGTACAGAACTTGTTAGACACTGCATCAAAGAAGAGAATATGGAAATTCCTGCCATTCCACCAGGCTTTGAGTCGATTGCATCCTTCACCCTAAAGAGGATAGAAGATAATGAAATCACGACTAATTGTTCGGCCTCTTCGAGTAGTTCTGAGTTACAGCCAGCCCGGATGAAAACAGAGTTTGAGTGTAGCGACGATGCAAAAATCATGAAGTCCCTTAGGCGTAGACCTTGGATAAACTATGATCAATTTGATAACAACTCAGGGGATGACTCTGATTCTGAGGAGGTTAATCAAGATGTATTCTTATTACGGTGTCCTTTCTTATATTTAGTGTCCCTCTATGGAATCACTTACGTTATTTATGTTTGTAGAATCTCCCTTTAAGGCCTCGGCTTCCAAAAGGTGTTATGCGTGGATGTGAAGAGTGTAGTAACTGTCAAAAGGTCAGTCCTGCTGATTGCTTTTTGTCTGCTTTGAACTTTTAATTGACCTGATTCTATTGGGCATGGTTCCTCCACCTTCTTCTAGGATACCTGCATTTATTAACTTCTGCAAATGTACGTATGTACTTGTATATTCCTTAAACAAAGTTGTTGTAATCAACAAAGTTGTAGCTCAACAAGTGCTCTTAATTGCTGAGCCGAGCACACTGAATTACTAAAGCTAAACTTGTGGGGAATCAACAGAAGGGGCTGCTGCATATTTCGATTGTTGACGGGTTGGTCATTGTGACAATTGTGAAGCAGCTTAACCAATTTCTATCCAAGTATACTGCTGATTTATAGGTTCTCAGTTCACATTCCTTGTCTTTTGATATTTTTAACTTTGAATTTTGAAACAGGTCACAGCAAGATGGTATCCACAAGAAGCTTGCAGGCCTGATCTTCAGGATGCTCCTGTATTCTACCCAAATGAAGAGGTTCTTACTATCACTTTGCTAACTCACCCCCTCCCTTTGCCTGGTGGCCTTCTATGACATCTTGTCCTTGTTATTGCTCATCATTAACTTTGGAGTAGTTTTTATTATATTCTTTAAAGAAAATCTTTAAAAAATTCAGATTTCTGAATGCTGTCATTGATTTCCAGGAGTTCGAAGATACTATAAATTATATAGCAAGTATACGCCCTAAAGCAGAAGCATATGGAATTTGTCGTATTGTACCTCCCCCTTCATGGAAACCTCCTTGCCCTCTCAAGGAAAAAAAATTCTGGGAGGATTCTAAGTTCAGTACTCGTATACAGAGGATTGACAAACTTCAGAATCGGGAGTCAATGAGGAAGCTGTTGAAAATTAATGATCATAAGAGGAAGAAAAGGAGACGATGCATCAAAACAGGAGTAGATGTTGGGACTAGTAATGCAGATATTTTGGTTCCTTTAAGTGAAGCTGGAATATATGAGGCAGAGAGGTTTGGGTTTGAGCCTGGCCCGGAGTTTACTCTGGATGCATTTCAGACATATGCAGACGATTTCAAAGCCCAGTATTTCCGGAAGAATGAATATATTGCAGATCCAGGAGGTAACATGAACATGCTCCAAGAGCAGTGGGAGCCCTCAGTGGAGAATATTGAAGGTGAATATTGGCGGATGGTTGAGAAACCTACGGAAGAAATTGAGGTACCATGTGTCATGTTGATGCACAATTGTAGAGTTTGTATATTTACATAGAAACTAATTTTTTCTGTTGAAATTTCTATTATGCTCTTCCTTTCTTTTTTCAATTTTAGTTGTTTTGATGTGATGCTCTAGGTGCTATATGGGGCTGACTTGGAAACCGGGGTTTTCGGCAGTGGTTTTCCTAAACAGTCCCATCAGGTTGGTTATGCGTCTGATGGAAAGTATGTGAAATCAGGCTGGAACTTGAATAACTTCCCCAGGCTTCCTGGTTCTGTACTCTCCTACGAAAGCAGTGACATATCTGGAGTTCTGGTGCCTTGGTTGTATATAGGGATGTGCTTTTCTTCATTTTGTTGGGTAAGGCATAATAGTTTGTCAATTGCTTTATTGACTTCTTTCATATAATTGTGTGCTTTGCATGCTGAGTACACATTCATGTATGATCAGAGATTTGCAGACGTGTTAGTGCATAAGAGATCATTTGGCTTTTAAGTGTGAAGGGTGTACTCGTGAAACACCATATGGAAATTTAAGCATATAAGTAGAAGTCTGATCATATCTTTCACCATCAGTATTATTTGTGTTGTAGCAACTATCACATTTTTGTCCTGTAGGTTTCAAATTTTCAATTGGTAACTATGTTACTGAATTCCTCTTTGGTGTTCTTGTTAATGATTTTGTATCATAAATTTGACGTCGCATTAGAACTCTCATAGAGCTAGAAATATATGGTAGAGGGGACCTAATTTTAACACTAACTAGATAACAAATAATAAGTAGAAACGATTAAATAGTGATTAATATCACTAATATCCAATATATTTATGTTTGTTGCCAACTAGTTTTCATATCCCAAAAAAAAAAGATGTTGCATGATAATATCATTATCAATGTCACCGCACATACTTTTCTCAATAGAGTAATGTCACTTACACATACTTTTCTCAATAGAGTAATGTCACTACACATACTTTTCTCAATAGAGTAATGTCACTACACATACCTTTCTCAATAGAGTAATGTCACTTGGATCTAATTTGTTGACCTAATCAATTTTGTAGTTAGATTGATTGTGAGTCTTAATATTAGTTGGGACTCAATGTCAATCCAAGACACCAATGGATTAGGTCAACTAATTAGATCAACACATTATGTCCAAATAGTATTATTGTTTTCAATATATCAAAATAAACAGTGGTGAGAGAGAAGCGGTCAGATATAGGGTGAGAGAACCAAGAGTTTTAGGGCAATTTCTTGATAAGATGTTGAGCGATTCAACTAACTGAATACAAGTTAAGTTTTCTGTAACGCCCCAAAATCTACCTTGGAAGGCATTACTATCTAAAAATCATCCAATCATGAAAGCAGCTATAATAACCATTAAATAATAAATCATTCATCCATCTGACAAATAATAAATGTTAAAGCCAATAAAACACTATAACTTCTTCAACTTATGATTTAAAACCAAATAGTATCTAGCAGCGGAATAATTAAACTAACTAAAATAGTTTCACAAAAATTTCTCCAAATTCAATAATCAAAATTAAATCTCTAAACCTCTACGTCAGAATTCTTATACTGACCCTGTCCATCCTCGAGATCAACCTGTTCATTCAATCCGAGCTCTTCGTCTAAACCATAATCTGAAAAAGATGTAGTTTGTAAGGGGTGAGGACTAAGCTCTGTAGGAAAATCCTTCCAAGCTCGAACAAGGTTTTGAAAACATATAAACACAGGTTGGTCTCATTTTACAAAATATCATATATATAACTTTTGAAATAAAACAGTGACAGTTTATTAGATCTCAAGTTTACGCAGTATCAATAAATTAAATGAAGTAAAACAAAAATTACCACGTTTTCATCCATCTAAGCTTCTCATTACCAACATTGTATCTCAGGTATGTAGTAAAATTGAACATGAATACACACATTGAGAATATCCTGGCCCACACACACACCAAATCCTCACAAGGATACACGACTTTAGGAAGGGCGTATACTGACGCATCGGCAATGACGAATCCAACCCAGGAATAGTATACTAGCCCTCAGTCTTGATACCCGTGAGCGGATAGTAGTTTGGTCCTCGCAAGGCACCAACCCCACTACGAGTGTTAGGGAACCTTCAAACCCACTCGGAGTAAGAAACGCATCTCCTTACTCTACAATACTCGGTCGACAGTCACCCATATTCATCAAAACATCCACACAAATACCAAACCAATTCACCAAATCACAGGTAAACCAAGAACCATAATTTCACTGGTAATTTTTCAACAGAACAACTCAAGAAAATATGCAAAAGATCATCGAGAAATATAATTTTATTGTTCAAACAAAACACTAGAGTTTTTTAATCAGGGACATTGGAATATCAAGGGTAAAAACTATGTTTCTTGAAAACTAGAGTTTTGATATCAAGAATGATAATTTTTATGACTATCAAACGATAACCTCATTCAAGACATTATACGATTTGCAAGAAAACCAAGAAACAATGATTTCATAATATATATATATATATATATATATATATATATTAATCCTACCCTCAATTAACAAGTTTAGGAAGAAACCCCTACCTTGATTCTTGAGATCTTGATCGTAACGTGTTTCGTTGCGATTACCCCGTGTTAATCCTTCAAGATTTAACCCATTCTTTCTCTTTTTCTTCTCCTCAACTTTCCTAGGGTTCTTGGGATTGAAAATTAGGTAAAGACTCCTTATTTCATGGCCCTAGGGTATTTATAGGCTGAAAAATAGAGAATTCCCGAGTGGGCGCGGGTAGCAGTCTGCGCCTAACTTGTAACTCAATTTTGACCTAGTTAGAGGCCGTTTCATGAAATTGTCATGAAATACACTTTTGTTGCCTTTTAAGTCTAGTTTCTACTGTAAAAATTTCAGGTTAATCTGACATTAAGGTAAATAGTTATAGCCAAAATACGAAGGTTATGTCAAATTCCTTTTCACCGCAATTCTATCCAAAATAGGTTTTAACTCTAGAATACTTCTAAACTTCTAATACAACTCATATAACCTCTTCCATTATTTTTCGACATTCTGGATTCAATGAAAATCTTATTTTGATCTAAAATTATTTATAAAATTACTTAGTCACCCTTCTCAAACTTAAGCATCTTTAAAACTTAATTTATTCCGAAAGTCAAATACGCTTGAAACTCAAATTTCATAATCAATATTTTAATAATTATTCTAAGTTTCTATCATTATTTTATTCGTCTTAGGAGAACTCTTAAGGTAATATTATATTTATTTAATTTTAATACAGGATCTTATAATCCACCCCCTTAAAAGAAAGTTTCGTTCTCGAAACTTAATCGTCGAGTTAGTCTATCTAATTTTCATTTACCACAGGTTCTCAATGTATATTAGTCCCTTAACCATCAAATCCATGATCAGAATAGAATACCATATTCTAAATTAATATCCATCCTTTCCACTTATACATCATTGCAGTTACTTAAAGTCTCCAAGATTACATTCTTTCAATAGAATTCATTTATCACCTCTATTCTCAATAATTGTATAAGATTGTTCTATCTAATTTCTTATCATGCATAACTACTAGATCATAATACTTAATTGTCTACTCCTCAAATATCACTTCTCTTTTGAATTTCGCCAATCATTTCAATAAATCTCATATTTGCTTCTTACATGTAGCTTATCCATAAGTATATCAAAATAATTCTAATGCAATTCCGCTATTAGGATTTCTCATCTTTCTTATCCTAACATCATGGTGTAACACAAAATTTATTAATGCATCACGGTAAAATTTATCTCGATTCCTGAAATAGATACAACATTCTTAATGACTTTATCTCTTACTAGCTAAAAGGATTTTACAATCTTTGAAATATAACAACAATTTCAATTCACAACTACACACTCCCACATAAGTCAATGTTATAGGATTAACTATTAGGTTGCACATCCATTTTAAATTTCTCATGATACTCCTTACCTTCACCATTGTAGTCATTACTCAAATAGTTCGTTGCGCACTCTGATATAAATTATAATCCACCAATTCAAAAATCAAAACTAGCCACAAGATAAGAATTCCCATAGGTTTGAAAGTTTTGAGAAGATGTCTGATTCCATCAAAGTGTATAACTGAAACTTAATCACATTTATACTCCAATTATAGCTTCCAAAATGTGTACACTAACGATCCATCTAATCCATTCAAAGGGAATTTTAGTAATTAACTAACTATAACACTTTGGCTATGTGTCAAGTTATATTTCCAAGATATTTGCTTTTAGTCTCCAATCTTGAGCTCAAATCAATAAGTCTTACAATCCCCTTCATAAATCATTTGTATCCGGATTCATACTTTTAGATCAATCTTAATATCTCTACATATTCACCAACTCGATTAAGGCCAATTATTTTTTTCTATCTTCTAAGTATTTATTCTCAATCTTTAACCTCGAGGTAGAATCAATAACCCATGTAATCAATTCCTACCGGTTTCTACACCCCATCCATTCTATTGGTTACATATAATTTTGAATTTCCATGATTCTATCTAGAATAAATATATTTCTAATTCATAAGATAAAGATAGTCTTCAAAGGATCACAATAATCTCCCTCAATTCAATACGATTAGATTTCTTGTAATATAATCATAACTAAAAACAAGACTCCCGATGATTAATCCAATGTTATCTGATTTAACCATATTAGTCATCATAGTCTTAACCATTATTCATAATCCCCAGGACAATAACAATCTACTAATTACTACAATAATTATAGTCATTTATCCCAAAATTACATAAAGTTTTTACATCCATGTCAAATCCAATTTGTAAAGGTGTCACCATTAATTCCTTAAATTATATCTTTTCAATTATCACCACTAACCGTAAAGTTTGAATCTTCAATACTCATACCAACAATCCTCAAGTATAACTAATCAAACTTATCTTAATAATATACTAAGAGAGACAGGAAAAAGAACTCCATATTCCCCCAACACTACTCTAATAACATTAAAAGATCCCACGGAACAATAGAGACTCATATCAAACTTTAGATATCATCCTTATTTCAATAATTGTCTGCTATATTTGATCTCGAGCTTTTAAACATCTATAATCTTTAATCCTATAATATATAAGGTCAAAGGTAACTACAATAACTTAGTAAGGCTTCTTAGGTTTCCTTTTTGCATGTCTATAAGTTCGTTTCCATAACTCAAACTCAAGTTTTCAATCAAAATTTGTAAATACAAGTCAACTATTAACTCCCCGCTCAATCAAGAGATTCTTGATTGTTAATACTTTAGAAAGCCTAAATGTAGTGAACTAAACCCACAACAACATACAATTGTCTAAATATAACGTACTCAATGAGTATCTTATAT